ATTTTTATGAATGTGAAATGCCTCTAGAAAATCCAGTTCTCCAATGGAAGATTTTTTTGAATAATTTTGGCAGCAGAAAAACTGAAAGTGTGGTTTTCGGACCAACAATGTTGAGCAACAGAAGACTTCTGTGTTTCCTTTTTTCTAACATATGCCTCATGTTCCTTGACGCGAAATTTTAAGGCTCTCTTAGTTTGGCCAATGTAAATTAAACCACACTGGCAAGGAATCCTATAAATACCCCAGGAATTCATATCCGGAATGGGGTCCTTGAGTATGGAACTCTGAATTTTATTGATGGGAGAATAAACAACCCGAAAGTTAAATTTCTGCAAAATATGTGCAACTTTATAGCTATAGCTAATTGATGGAAAGAAGGGAATGACAACAGAATTTTTATAATCTCCTAAAACAAGATTGTGCCTTTTAGTGTGTTGAGATGAGAATTTTTTAACTGCTTGATTAATAATGTTGGGTGGAAAGCCCCTGTCAATAGCTATTGCTTTTAAATACTTTAGTTCTTCATCAAGGGCTAGTTTGGAGGAGCAAACTTGAAGAGCACGGAAAACATAGGAATAAAATGAAGCTAACTTTTGTTTAGTCGGATGACATGATTTAAAGTGTGGTGGAAGGCAAACCGATGAAGGTTTACGGTAAACCGTAGTACTGAAGTTGGATGAACACATCCATTATTAAATTAAAAAGAAAAGCTCAAGTAAGAAACAGAAAAATCATAAGTAATCTGTAAGCAATATGCAAAATTAATGAAAAATTCTGAATATTCTTTGGGAAAAAAAATTAAAAGCAATGAGCTAAAATATATACAGAGCGATTCTAAATTGTTTTTACAAATTAAGAGGGGTAATAGTACTTATCCAGATGAATTACCACAATGGCTGAATATTATCAACTAACTCCAACTTCTCCTGTATGCCGAGATTAGCATGAAAAGTTCTTGCTGTGTTCCAGCTGTCAGAACTTCGTGTCCCATAAAAGGGCGCTTCGCATAGAATGAGTGCAGCACAGTAAGTCCAGGAGGACAGAATACAAGATAGTGAAGGGGGAAAAAACTGCTACCTTGATACATAATATTTATTATTATTAGCACATTGCTTTTAATATTTGTATTGCACATTGCCCTTGATTTTCCCCATTGGAAATTCTATATGTCTAATCATTTTATTTGTTTACAATTAAAATTTCATAATTTAAAATTGCTACCTTGATACTTAATATCAAGGTAGCAGTTCCCCCCCCCCAAATAATTTAGATAATCAACTTGTTGCAATCATTTGCAAGGTTGAGACCTTGCCAACCAAAGATGTGCAATTGAGTGTTTACCATCAAAGTCTGATCTCGAATGCCAAGTTTCGGTTTTATGCATTTTGTGCACTGTCTGCGAGTTTTTCATTTAACTGATTGTGCAACTTTTGGTCTTGTTCATTCACTCTCCCAACACTGTTGTAAGTTCAGGTTGGCATTCTAATATTCCTTTTTTCTGCCTCCTAGAGTGGAATGTGACCCTGTGTTCTATGGTAATTACTGCTTATCTGCATGAGTACTATCACCCCTCTTAATTTGTAAAAACAATTTAGAATCACCCTGTATATAAAACAAATACAATATCACTATTTCATTCATATACAGCTAATTAAAATTTTAAATTATGAAATTTTAATTGTAAACAAATAAAATGATTAGACATATAGAATTTCCAAATGGGAAAATCAAGGGCAATGTGCAATACAAATATTAAAAGCAATGTGCTAATAATAATAAATATCATCTTAATTTGAAATTTTTCTATTCTTATTAAATATATATATATATACATTAACAGATGGTCTATTGAGATAAAATTTAAAGGTTTTAAGCCCGTTCACAAGAGCAGATTCGACCGGTAGTGAAAACCGGTTCTTCCAACGTGTCCCGTTCACATGGGACAAGCATTAACTGCCTCGCCGAATTGGAGGTAGAACTTGGTTGAATGTTCCTTACCTCTCAGGAGCAGGGCAAATGGGGAGATTTCCCGTACTATACTGTGCGGTTCACTTAATTTTAGTTACTGCTCGCTGGACTGTCAGCAAAACAATCGCGCTGATGGATGTCTGGGGATGTGATAACATCCCCCCAAAAATTAGATAGAACTGTAAAAGATACGCAAATTATAGACAAATACAGACAAGGTTATCTGATGCTAGGTATTCCAGAAATATCATTCAAAGTAAAACTAAAGTTAAGACAAGTGTATATCGGCTTCAACGCGACAAGGGACTCGGTACCTTTTGAATGATTTTTTTTAAAAACAAATTTAAGCATTTTCATCTACTTTTTATGAATATTATTAAACGGTTTTGTGAGACAAAATAATTTTAAGCTGAAAAAAAGTTTTGCTAGTATTTATTTTTAATTTAAATTTTTGAAGAAAAATTTTACAATTAAAATGTCTTTCTTCTCCTACAATTTTCAATGTCTCCCCCCCAGTTTTTTTATTGTATTTATTAGAGTGTTCTTAATAACTTCAAGGAATGATTTTGCAATTAATGAATTAGTTTCTGAGAAAAAAAAATACACTCTTATCTAAAATCTTTAAAACAAATATGATCTCAGTCACATTTTCATTTCAAATAATTTTTTCCTTTCAGTATTTTGCAAAACCCTTCCTTGTTTTTATAAAGCATATAATTTTAAATAAGCAGTAAAAATAATAAAAAAAATTAGTCCATACCTGTATGTGTTTAAGATTTTAAGTAAAAGGATTTATTGAAAAAAATGCAAAAGGTTTCTCAGTTTGCATTTGCAGTTTAAAGAATGCAAACTGTCTAAATAGACATTTAATGATTTCAAATCTTTAAAATTTTCTTACTGAATTTCAGTACACACACACACACACATACATACATACATATATATATAAATCAAATGTAGTGCTATTTATTCAATTGGTAAATATAAACAAATTACAAACCTTTTTTTTAAAACCTTATGTGGCCAGAAAAATTGCAAAAACTCATAAAAAGCAAGCAGAATTTTTCTTTACCTGTTTTAGATTTGTAAAACACATTCAAAACAATTTAATACATTAATTAATTATAATATTGTTGCGTGCGTACGGGTTTGTAATAGATTGATAATAGTTCGTAAATGATTGTCATTGCACTCAAATCCGATGATAGCTTAATTAAATTTATTTTGTAAGGATCTTAAGTTTTACTAACGTTTATTTTATTTTAAATCTTTACTATCACTTCTTATTTTCTACTTCCGGCCAGAATTATAAGCGTTAAGGATTTTATGCAAAGTTTGTCTGGCGAACGCCAAGTATTTAAGTGTGGCCTTTTTGCCAAGCGAAAGAGAGGAAGCAGTGAGTTCGAAGCAGGCCGCTTACCTTAGAAGTTACGCAGTTGCTATTTGCCTTCCAGGCCAGAGGTTTTAATCCTCTTGATAAATTAAACGTATTGTAGTGTTCACAGTCTCTGTGCTACATACGCTTCCTGTTATTATAAGGCCAATCTTCCACGTGTATTGTTCTAAAGTTAAATTAGAGTGTAGTTTTATTTTTATACTTTTTTACGTTAGACCCCGAGTGGAGGGTCAGTGTATTCCGAAGTACGGAAGTTATTGTATATAGAGAAAAATAAAGGGTTTTGTATACCCTTCGTCTGTATCCTGTCTACTTACTACAATTAGTGAACATAGCTTTAGTAAGCTCTCTGTTCCTAGTCAGGTCCTTGTATGTTCCCGAAGAAGGTTAAAAGGAACATTGAACCTGATAATTTTATCAACAGAAACACTTCAAAGTTCTGGAATTTCCACAGAAATACCCGTATAAGTGTTTAGAATATCACTAAGTATAATCAGTAGTTATGCTTCAATCTAATAAGAACGTTAAACACAACGGAATGCAAAACGCATCTTAAGAGAAAGTTAACTCAGAAATATCTCCAATCTGACGCTGAACTAACAATTGGCAACAATAACAACTTATATAGCATAAATAATGTCATAAAAATAGTGTGGTATAATGAGATTATTACTTTGAAACCGATGTTTCGAATTGATGCCCAAGAAGAACCAGTATTTCCCATTCTCATTCATTGCACATCTTTCAAAAAAGTAAAAAAATCATCCAATTAATTTTCTGTATCATTTTTTTAAATGCGAAACGCTTGTTTTATAAGCTGTAAAAATGTCAGAAGTTTGTAACCGATATATTTTTAGATATGAAATTTTAAAATTAATGGGCGTCAAGAAGTCTAAAAATCTGAACAATTTTCAAAAATTCTCCCAAAATATTTTTAAAAAAATTACGCTAAAAATTTCATTTAATTTTTTTTTCCTCCACAGTGTGTTATGGTGCAAACTATAATATTCTGAGATTCTCAGTTTATTTGTTAATATTTGCAAAAAATCGTTTCAGCTTTAAATTTGAAAAAAAATCTAGTCCTCTAAAAATCAAAAGTGTGACTCCACATCCACAAGCAGTGTATGTACAAAGTTTGAGTTCTATATCTTATCGGAAAGCAGTTAAAAATCCATGACCATCTTTTAAAAATAGCGACAAGCACCAAGAGTGAACTAAATAACAGCTTATAAAATAATAATAATTAAAACGCATGTATTTTTCAGGAACCATCACGAAAGTTCAGGTACCAGTTGCGAAAGTCCAGATTACAAAATTAACAACAGTAAACAATGTTAAAAATGTGTAAACAGTATTAGAAATCTGTGAATTCGGAGACGTGATTGTTCACAGAGGCTTAAGTGTAAAGGGGAAGGAAGACAGTGGTCTTCTGAACGGGTCCTAAAGACGAAACTCTTTCATGTCTCCTTTTTCTCCCCTTGCTAACGGCAGCTGTGCGAAGGAGCGTTGCATGTGAACGGGGCTTTAAACACCTTTAATACAACTTCATCTGGAGATATTTTTAAGTACGACCATTTTTAGCTTAACAAATGCATTTTCTTACATAGTATAATAAAGTGTAATACAAATTACTTACATCCATGGTCTGTGAATGATTCATAGATTTTATGGCATTAATAGCACACTGTCGGGATGCATAAGTTATGAAAGCACACCCTATTAAAAATATTGCAAATTGTTAATAATTTTAATGTAACTCTGGATATTATAAAACTTAGAATGTGTACAAAAACTTTTAATCATTCACATTTTAATTATAATACTCATGTATAATCTTTTTAATGTTTACATAACAGATCATAGTACAGTTTGAAAAAAATTTTCTTTTGAACTGATCAACCCAAATGCTTAAAAAAAAAAAAAAAAAAAAAAAAAAGCAAATTTCTTAGCAAAAAGAATTTTAATTTTTCCATATGAGTGTTGTTCAACTTAATTGACATACATTTTAAAGCATATCTAGAGCAAACTTTTCTAGGTGTTCCTAACCAGTTAACTAATGCACCTACACGACACAGATTGGTAGCATTCAGTATTAATTCTAAGAGGTTTTTCAAATACTTATACAGTACAAAGTCCGTAATCTGGATGTCCAATATCCGGAATGGTCTATAATCTGGACCTCAAAGCCACAAACTTATACATGAGCGTAATGTGTTTGTTTACACATGCGCGTTTGATGTGCGGGTCCACTACGCATGCGCGTAAAGCCAGCAAAGCGTTTACACATGTGCGCTTCTGATAGTGAAGAAAGTGACAGAAAACGAAAACGAAATGTTATTGTTACTGAAAATGAAAAAATTTCGATTGACAAGTTAGTCGGTATTCTCGACACAGCAATTACAGGATTTGAACAGTGGAACTTTGTAACTGAACAAGAAATTATGTCTGTTTATAGAAGGAAGAATTAAACAGTATTAGCACAAAAAATGAAGCAACTTAAACAACTTACATTGAAAGAAATGTTTAATAAAGTAAACAAATAAATAAAGCTCTTTGTTTTGTAAATTTTGATACCCTTTAGATCATAATTGCTCTTTATTTCATAAATTACAGTTTCATATTTTTAATTGTATAATTTCTGCATACCATCTTACCAGATTTAAATTAATTATCTATAATCCAGAAAAAACCCTAATCCGGAATCGCCCAAGTCCCAACGAGTTCGGATTACGGACTTTGTACTGTACTGCATTTTTCATACAGTCACACATTTATAAGCCATAATATGATTAAAGGGACTCATGAAACTATTCTATTATTTACACAAGCTATTTTATCTCTTATAGAAATGCTACTACACACCATTTTGTCCTCTTATAATTAAAGCATGTTATGGCATAAACTGTTCCTCTCTTTGAGAATCTATAATTTCAAAATTACTTTAAAACCTTACTCATATATATATATATATATATATATATATATATAAATTTAAACAAATTTAAATTTAATTTTTAACAAATATGTATAAAAGTAAAAAAGCAAATATATATTAATTTTACGAAACAATCTACATATAATAATATCAGATTGAAAATCATGAGGGATATCTATATCCTCAACATGATGCAATAACTTTGTTCTGCCTTTAAAAATACTTTTGTTTATGTTACATGAAATTGTATATAAAAAAAAATATTCAAAGTGGAATTGATTAATCTGATTATGGCAAAGCACATTATGGTTACCTCCCTATACTTCAATGGCACACAAAGTTATCAAATATTTTTATTCATCAGAATGTACTCTAATGATGCTACTATCCAAAGATATATACTGATCATGATATTTTATGCACTTTGATGAGCACCAAAAAAACAATTTTCATATAATCTACTTTGTTTAAAGATTAGCACATAAATTATTTATTTCATAATACTGAATCACATTTTTCTCAATTAGTCTTAATATGTTCCGGTAATATTCCCAAACTAAGGCTAAAGCTAAAATCAAAATTTATTAGTTTTGTAATCATAAACCTATACTTTAATATATAAAACCAACAACAACAACAAAAAAAAAAAAATGTATAGGGGCATTGCCGCTTTTGATTAAAAAAGTGAAGAGCTAATAGCAATACTTGTAGTTATCGAAAAAAATTATTTAAACTCAGAACTAATTAAGATCTTCTCCTAAGCATGAAAGCAAGAAATTATTATTAAATCTAATTACAGAAGCATCTAAAATTTCATACAGAATTTGTGTAATGTATCTCAAGGAATGGGGGGGGGAGGTAAAGCAAAAAATATTAATATTTAGAAATACAGTAGCAAATAAGAGACTAAATTTTAAAAATAATTAAAAACTTTTCATTATACAAACAGTTAAATATTATATTTATACAATGAAACCATTTCTGATTATGACACAGAAATTAATGATAATAGAATGTGAAAGCTTGTTCTTATGATGATAGGAGCAGTCACAGCCAACTAAATACTTCCTTATTCTTGATTAAATCTTTAGACACAGCTAAATTAGCAGGGGAGGAAGCTTGTTCTTGAATAGCTAAATTGATTATTATTACATTTTTGTAATATATTTGGAGAGGGGGGAAAAACAACAGTGCATAGCAAGCTAGGAAGACAGCTGGTTATTCAGAAAAGGCAGTAACCGACAGCACAGTTGGTAATCGACTAAGATCCAACTATAAGCTTTTTAACTGCAACAACCTTAATATATGCTATAGAAGCTGAAATTACCATGGTTACTGGCACCAGACTTGCCATTCAATTGATCCTTGTTAGTGTACTCATTCTAAATACGGGGTCTTGAAGAAGTCCTGTATTGCTATTTTTTATCACTAACTCCCTGTTCTGGGTTCCTTGGATCATACCTTACTACTTGGATAACTGTGGCAATTCTACAGCTAATTACATGCAGCAGAGCTCTGACACTCTGGGGATAAGCACTTTTATCATACCAATACCAATCAGATCTCATTCTATATTATGTAGTGACTTTTGGCTCATCACAGCAGGGCCTTGTTTCGGCAACATATCTTTCAAGTGTCTGTTTTATCAACTGTCAATGGTTGGTTATACACACCTATCAGGTTGACAGGGAATCAGGGTTTCTGATTCCAGAGAGAGAGCCCAAGAAATGGTTATCATATCCAAGGAAGGCAGCAGGCATGCCAATTCCCCACTCCCAAAATGGGAAGGTAGTAACGAAAAATAATAATACGAGATTCTTTTGAGACCCCTTAACTGAAATGAGTACACTTTAAATCTTTTAACCCTTTGATGGGCAGTATATAAAATAATTTAAATTGTGGTAAAATTTTGCATGAACTATAACTTATGGACCCTGAAAACACAAAATTGAGACTTGGAAAAAAAAAAAAAAAAAAAAACTAGAGCAAAATCCTAAGTTTTGAGAAAAAGCCCTAAGACATTTTTTTTCCAGGTAGCTGCCAATTGTTAATTTTTGTTTTTTAAATTAATTTTGCATACATTTGACGTGCATATGTAGAAGTGGGTGCTTGAATATGGTTATGTAAGTTTGAAGACAAAAACTTTTAAAATTTTGTTAGAAATTTAACATTTTAAAAATAAAATTTATGTTTTTATGAACTTTGATGATTCAACCCAGCTAAACATACTTATGTAAAACATGGTAAAAAGCTTTTGAACTTGATTTAACTTCAATATTATTATTTTAGAAAAAATTTAGCAAATATAACACTGCATGAGTAAATTGTATCATGCTGTAACTGAACTAGTATAATATTACAAGGAGATATAACAGCCAAAAAATTTTAAAATGAAACAGTACAACTCAGATGAGAAAGTATGTTGCATTTTTTGAAGTCATATTTTATACTTTAGATAATATGTAAGAAAACCATGGTTCATGCTATGATATCAAGAATCGCCCCCCCCCCTCTGCACACACACTTTAGATTATCGAGGACCGTAAGGGCCCCTTTCTTATTTTTTGTAAATATAGGTTGTAATATATCCTTTTGTTCAGGAAGAAACGCCGTTAAACAACTTTATTATTTTATACACCTCAAAGCTCTTATTTCGATTTTCAACTCCTTTGGCTTCCTAGGGGCTCCTTTTCATCTTTTAGATAAATTCTAGTTTGCATCTCAAACGAGCCTTAGAAATATTTTCCCTCATTTCATAAACTGTGAAATTTATTTCAAAAACAACCTATTTGAAACCTAACCCTAAATTTTTCTTGCGTTCCCTAGGCTTTCATCTGAAATTAACAGAGACAATAAAAATAAAAGCATGCTTTCAAATCAGCAGTTTTTGTGCCAATTCCCATATTTTCTCTTTGTGTGATCTTATCACACCACACAAAGGGAAAAGGCGTGATTCTGGAATGACAAATCAGTTTTCAATCATCTCCTTTCATTTTCGTTGGATTCTAGGATTTTGGAAAACATGAAGTAAAACGGGTATCTTTTTTCATGCCACATTTAACCCCTACAATTGTGTAAAATTTTGACCCCAGACGGCAATTTTGAAATCGATGAGTCTTTCCCTTGGAAAAGGATGAAGTGCTGAATTTAAAATTTTAGCTAAATAGAGACAAATGAAACTCAAGCGGAGTAAAAAAAGAATAAAAAGAAACAAATATACTTGTATTCAGTCCTAGTGCAGGGTCAGTAAACTCCCCATCCCTTCATGAACATACTACTGAATCCTAAACAACTTGTATGTTAATCATAAAGAAATTATTACATCATAAACTATTATAATGTAAAGAAATGCTACAGTCTTAGTGCAGGGTCCGTAAACTCCCCATCCCTTTATGAGCATAATACCGAATCTTAAACAACTTGTAAGTCATTCATAAAGAAATTATTACATCATAAACTATTACGATGTAAAGAAATGCTATCATTTCACAGAGCAGAGAAGAAGAAACCTGGTGCTGCCATCTATTGACAAGGTACCTTCAGTAGAGGCGCACCGGTATTAAAAACGTATACATAATCTTCTTTTAATTATCAGTTTTGGTTAAAATGCAGTAAATTTAAAAGGTTCAGCATGTGTACGTCATATATTTACAGATTTTAAATTTTTTCTTTCCCTCCAAGAGAATTTATCAATCTTCAAACATGATACCTTGGAGCAATGTACATTAATTCCATAATTGCAAAATACTGAGCATTCGTTGGGTGGTGCTGCCATTTAGAATCAAAAGGAAACAATAGAAACTTACTACTATTATAGCTTTTGGTGTAGAGAAATTGGCATTTTTTTCGGAGGTTAAAAAATTGACAAACAACCAGTATATATTATATACCAGTGCCTTTCAAAGAGTTAATGAGAATCAACTAGAGGTCAAGTCTGGTGCCAGTGGGCACGGTAATTCCAACTCTGATATCATATATTAAAGTTGTTATAAAAAAGCTTGTAGCTGAATCTCAGCTCCAGAGAGAAAATCTGCCTACCGGTGGTTACTGCCTGTTATTTCCAGTACAAAGGTCTGGCCAAGAATAATAAAGTTTTGGTTTGATCTCATTTTTACCAGTTGCTAGAGGTTTTAGATCATAATTTAAAAAATATGATTGGTTGAAATGTTATATTATAAGTACCTACATCATTAACATTACATAAGATCATGGAGCAATGATGAATTTTCAAATGATGCAATTTAGAGAGATTTACTATAGACACATTACCATTTTTAGAATTCAAAAAAGAAATTATCACATCAAAAAAGGAGACAGAATAAAAGTTCATTTTACTTACTTTTTATCTCTCTCTCAAACACACACAGTCATATATATTTCAAATTCTGTTTGTAATTAACTAATAAAATATGGTACAAATGCATATAATCAATAACTGGTACTTTACACAATCAAAAACAGTAATTCAAGTTTTACTAATTTTGCCCTTTTGAAAACTTAAAAATTTAAAAATATTACTGGATTTTGCAAGTTATACGCATCAGATATTTTCTTTATGTTATTTCAAACCAATGTGCAGGAAATTTTGGCAAAATTGCTATTAAACTAGTTAATTTTACGACTGAAAATTTAACACTGACTTTATTTGAAGTTCATTTTTTAGTAGCAATTTATATATTTTTTTAAATGCTACAGGCTTTCTTTCTTTTTCTTTTCTTTTCTTTTTTTTTTTTTATATATATATATATAAACAAATAAGACAGTTTTCAAATTTTTTGCTCCATGTCTATTATTACATTTTTTATACAACTGTGCACCGAGTTAACATTATCATATATATTTATCTTCAAAAATCTAATAAAAGCAATGAAAATTCCATGTAAAATTTTTTATGGTGTATCTCAAAGAGTTAATTAAAAAAGGGGGAATATGAAAAAAAAAAGTTACACTAGTATTTAAACAAACAATTTCATAATATCCCCTTCCAATTCTGTTCATAATTCTCTGCTAAAAATAATACACCACTGTTAGGAAATTTACATTCTCCCTTGCACAGTACTGAAGATGTGTAAAGTTCTATGCTATATATAGTCCAACTATAGAAGGCAAGACGGGATGTGTGTATGAGGAGACTGTGCGTCTTCCTGACATAATTGGTTATCCATGTGGCCAATCAGCATAGTGCAATGAGCGGATGAATGGAATCCTAACATGGAATACAGCTGTCAATGACTATAACTATTATATGGAACTGCTGCAGCCATGTACCTGCTGACATATCAGTCAAGTTAATCATCTGCTATTCAATTCATAGCTTCTTCATGCTATGTTTATTTCTCCCATGTCATAGGTTGACAAACCCTGTTCATCAGTTTTGCTAAGCTCAAGGAAAGCACCCATTAAAGATTATCTTTAACTTACATGTATGCTCTTTTGAAAAGGAACCAGGTTTCACACTGTACCAAAACTTTCATCGTCACCCCAAATTAAAATTCAACAACCACAATATTCACTATGAGTTTGAAAATTAAAAAGGGGGGGCAGGCAGGGTACTGTGATTTTTAGTGACGAATGATACAGAAGATTAAGGATAATCACTATAGACATAAAATCAGATATTTAATTTTAGCAAACAATATATTTATAAGTTGTAAATTATTTATTACACATTAAACATATTTACGATGGAAATGTAAATTCAAAGGAAACAAAAACTTTATTCATAATTATTATTATCCTACAAATATTTTGTTTGTTCAAAAGAAAATGAAAAGAATTTTTACCTCTGCTTTGTCCATTGATATCTCTTAAAACTGTACATTCTTCAATTTGCCCAAAAGAAGAAAACATAACTCGAACTTCATTTTCGGTACATTTTTTTGATAGCATGCCGATGAATAATTTTCTTTCTGTAAAAAAACATTAAATCAACTTAAAATAACATTAAATAAAAACTGACAAAAATTTGTTAGTTTTAATAATATTGTCTATCTTTTGTTCAATTTTATTGATGAATAAAATTTTGGAGATAAATTTGCTTTACATTCACACTTGATCATTACACTATATCAATATATTACATTTTCCAGCAACAAGTTTCAGTCTTTTTATTATTTAAATATCTCCTCCAACTTATGACTTAGGACTCTTTTCAATCTTTGACATCAAACGTTTTCCTTTTTGTTGGGGGGGGGGACTGCTGCTTTTGTAATTACTCCATTCACTGTTCACCCTTTTTTTAATCACTCCAATTTTAGTTACTTTCACACAACACTTTCATTTGACTAGTGCTACATTTGCAATAAATAAAATGATGCAAATGCACAAGAGGCACAGAACTTGGTAAATCACTTCAAATCTAAAAATATTAATTGCTAATTATTTAAAGTACATACAAGAAATTTTCCAAACAATCCAAAAGGAGAAATAACATCTGGCTATTAAATTTATACACAAGCAATAAAAACTCACAATTATTAATTAATATGCAAACAACAATATGAAAAATTTGCTTCAGTAAAATTTTCTCTAGTACCCCAACTAATGACCAATCAAATTAAGCTATTGAAAAGCTTCAAGCAACATATATGTGCAACAATGAGATACATTCCACAAGAGAAGAAGAGGGAAAATGTGGTCACATGTTTAAGAAAAACAGCATCCGCATGTGCTATGTTTACAATGGAGTTGATAGCAGATATTTCGCTGAAATTAATTGATTTTTTGAATTTACAAATTTATGGCTATTGCAAGAAATTAAAAAAATATGATTGAAAATGACATCCCTTTTCTTGATGTCAACAAGTAGGGTCTTCTGTTATTCAAGGAAAAACATGTGAACAATATTTGTTTCAAAGTAATGCCAGATATCACGGTACTTATAACAAGTAGTGTTAAGGCCGAAATGAAGAAATCAATTAATTATGAAACATCCGTGCAAATTTCTGCAGAAAACTTTATAAATTTTTCTTATGCGGGATGCTGACCAGTATTAATAATGTTTTTATTAAGAATATTAAGTGTACATCAGTTAATTGAAAACTATTCCCAAGGCCTTGAATAACATTTTCCAAACTTTTAAATGTATGTGTAATAATAGTATATTCATAGTTCATGAATAGTTGTTCTAAATTACTGAAATAGCAGAATTTGAGAAAGATCTGTTTATCTGCAAGAACATAAATACAAAGCCAATTTTCTTTCATTAATATTAATTAGAGTCATAGAACATTTTATGCTGCTAAAATTTTACTAATTTCATTAATTAATTAATTAATACCAACAGCTGTAATATTAGAAACATCAGTAATACTGAAACATATTAATATAACAGGATGCTTTTATAAGAATTTATATTTAATTCTAAATTTTCATAGGAAATTGCCGAGTTTTTTAGTTTAAATATTAAATTAGTATGTATATTTAGTTGTTGAAAATCAGTGGTTGTGTCAGTTTATAACATGTGCCTTAAGTATATGCATTAGAATTACACTAGTCTATGTCCTATGGTAAATACACTTAAAAATCTTTTTGAGCTACATAATTTAAAATAAAAAATTCTGCACATAAATTATGCAACTCATAAAATTAAAAATAACTTCAAATTTATTTTTTTAATATTTAAAATGTATACAGATAGTACTTTTTTATTATTTATTATTATAAAATGAAGAAAAATATACTATGAAAAATTATTAGTTTCACAGCTAGTACTGCAGTGAACTCAGTTGCACAAATCTTTATATTTTTCTTTGTGACATTTATATTATAGTATACAAAATGTGTTTGTGTGTACAAAATGTGTAATTTGCACTTTATACTATCAAGAGGATAATAGTCAGTTGCTAAGAATTAAATTTTAAGTTGCATAAAATTATATATTAATTTTGAACATTGGCATCGTTGTTCTTACATGATTTAAGGGCCAATTGCTTTTACAGTGCTCTGGATATTTGACTATTACGGATATTTGACTATTACGATTATTAGAAACCAACTATTTATATTTACTGTTCTGCTCCTTAAGCTGATAAAATTATGCTTAAAAATATTTATAGTAACTTTCTTTTCAGTGTGGAAGAGCACTCTATGTAAACATGATTTAATGTATTCATTTTTTATAAAAGAATTAATTATCAGAGCAAGGAAAGAATTCATAAATAAATATTAACAATCAAAACATGGTAAAGCAGTGAGCAAAAGATTATCATGAAGATAACAATAACATATAAGTTACCATAATTATACTAACCAAATGAATGAACACTTAATTAATGGATGAAATAATAATTAAATATGAAATGCAAATTTCATAATTAATTAAAAATAAACAGTTTCTGAATTTTCAACACATTTACCACAGCACAAGCTTGTTTGTTTACATTAGCAGTTCTTACATCACGTGACCTCCGATGTCACCAGAATGTATCTCATTCACAATTTATTATACATGATATTAGTAAAGTGGTAAATGCTTTCACTTTAGTTAAAAATTTAAATGAATAGGATCCCCTCTACACAAACACAAAATGTTGACACCCCTCTTGTGCATGATTAAAAAAGAGAAATACTAGATCATTAAATTGTATATAACTGCTGGCTTGCATGGAAGAACAGGATTAGTGCACTGAACAAAGACAAACTATAACTTTATAGTTGCAGCTAGCTCTCTGGCCCCTAAATGGGGCTCATTTTCTATATTATTTCTGTTTAAAGGAGAAAATCATGCTATGGCAGGCTTCTTTAACAATCAGTAATTTAATTTATTAAATTATACATAGAGTAATTAAAAAAATATATAAAACAGTTCGTAACTTACTACTGCAGTGAAATTATTATAAGACATATAAAGGCTATAATGAAAGCAGCTAAAGCAATTAAAAATACACTACATTAAAGATGTACACTGTGCAAAAAAATTAAATTCAACTTGCATTTTTCATATCTCGGAAGCACGACTTAGGCTATGCATTAGATTTATATATAGCATTGTTCTAACATAGGTAGTTTGGCACAAAATCTGTCTTTTTCTGAAATGACACGCCAATTTTTTTCCATATTTCGATTCTAAGACTCATATTATGCCAAACTGTCATATTATTAATCTCTCTTTGTTTAATAAACTTATTTGCTTCTTCCTTTCACATTTTAAAATTTAGGTTCATTCCAAATACAATTCACCCATTTTTTATGATTTATTTTTTAAATTTGTATTTTTACATATTTTTGGAAAAAAAAATTTTGAATTGTAATACATAAAACTTTTACCATCATCTTAAAGTAGATGTATTTCTAAGCATACCTACAAAAAATTAAAGATTTTTATTCAAAATTTCCAAAGATATATGTGAATTTATATATTGGCACATTTTGAAATTTAGCTTATTTGTTGAAAGTGAGAATAACATCAAATGTGGTTTAGGCACTTTGCTAAAATTATTTAAAAGTAGGAACAATATGGCTTTTTTTCACTCATGCACAATGTAAAAAGGGAAAGCAAAATAGGTTGCCATATATTAAGAAGTCCGCCAAGTGAATTTTTCTTGGCGCAAACTGAAAAAAAAATGTGCCAAGATAAATGTTTGAATTTCTCCATAAATTTCATACCAAATTTTTTAGAATTTAATATTTAGGTATAATTTGAGTCATAGAATCAAAATATGGAAAACAATTGGCATGTCATTTCAAAAAAAGTCCGATTTTGTGTCAAAATACCTATATTAGAACAATGCTATATATAAATCTAATATATAGCCTAAGTTGTGCTTTTGAGACATGAAAAATGCAGTTCCATTTTCGTCAATCAGTCCAGCAGAACGGGAGATATAAAACTGTACCCCCTTCTTTTTGCGCACTGTGTCTCAAATCTTACTTAATGAATGTAATATACATGCAGCACAACTACACACATAATATACTTATGTGTAGTTGTGCTGCATGTGTACAGATTCGTAATGGATTGAATGCAAACAGAACTAATGACAGCATGACAAAATTTATTTTCCCACCAGAAACAATTTACAGGTCTGGAATTTTTCACAGAAGTACTTGTACAGCTATTCAGAGTATGGCAGAGTAAAATCAGAAGTTATCACTTAAACTACTAAGGATGTTATACACAATGCAATGCAAAGTGCACCTAAAGAGTGAAGTTTTACAAATCAACTCTGACAAAACAAAAACTGAGAACTGTGATCTCTGGTCTTATACAGTTTTTCTCTGGCCACCAAGAAATTTCCAAGTACCTTCAATTTCTTGAAACTGCTGGAAGGCATATATAGTTACAGTTTCATATAGAGCCAGATATAATTGTAATTACACAGGAATTAGGCAAATTACATAGGAACTGGACCAAAATGTCGCAAGTGGCGACTTTTGGTGATTTCTCACCAAACCCATCAGCAGCTTGGCAAGGAAATAGCCATTTGTCTTAATGTTAAATGAACCTGCCCCTGTAATTTTACTTTTATGGTGGAGCTTCGCTCTCTCGAGGCATTTTATATTACATTATAGAGATGCTAGAATTTCACATATAATTTTACAAAATTATTTACACATATACAAAATTCCTAACATATGTTATATTAAAGATGTATCTCAAATATCACTTAATGAATGGCGTTATGAATATGCCTAGTTCTAACTTCATTGGAAGAAAAATATATCTGATGATCTAAAGCATGTTTAATGAATTAAATTATTCTGATTATCTTTTACCTCCATATATTGGTCCTGACATCAGTTACGTAGGAAAAACAATAAATATTTTAAACTAAAATCACTATTGAAGTATTAGTTGAGAGCTTATGATGGTCAAAATGATGAAGGATGTATCACCAGGTAGCATATGCAATCATTTTAAGCAATTACCGTGCTAAATTAGTAACATTCTCTTGGTTATTATTAGTCTTTGCAACTGAAATAGGAGGGGAGCACTTTGTTTTTAAAAACTACACTTCTTTATGATAACTATTTTACCATCATACTTCTATGTAATAGTTAGCGAGACTTGAACCTATGAATTTAAATGGATTATGGATCACCTGGTAAATATTCACATCAAAACATCCAGCTAGAGAAGAGAGCAGAAATTATCAAAGTATCAAACTGCAAATAATAGGTAATAAACAAGAAATATCAAACCATCAAATATAAATAAAATCAATAACAAATAAAATTTACCATTTCTATTTTCACTATCTGCTGGTTTCATCTGTATTGGATGATGCATCTAAATTGAAATATACATGACAATAAAAAATTTAAATAACTAGCATTTTTTTAAAATAAAAATACATTTTATCTGGAATCTGCAATTCACTTTAAACTATGCTTCTTCAGTTCAGAAATAAACACTGCTTATAAAATGAAAAAATAATTCAAGAAACAGATATTAATGTAACAATAAATCACTACTTAACCGAAGATTTATTACTAATAAATCAGTACTAAATAGAATTAATGAAGGTTTATATATAAAAATTATTTCAGATAAAATTTTATTATATGTAGATAATATTGAAAGTTTTTAGACAGATGAAAATGTAGACCTGAAAATACTAGGTCTGAAAGAAAGGCACATTCTCATGCATTCGCTGCTCCATCATGAATAAAAAAAAACGTTTTACACAACTAGTCTTTGATTTCAGACAACAAAAAAGTCATAAGATGAAAGGTCTGAGAAAGACAAGATGTCTGTGGTATGGAGAAACTTCTGCATCCATGCTACAAAACTGCATACAGCATTAATTACCTTAGTGAACAGCTATACAATTTCATGCCATCTTACCAGATTTAAACTGATGATCTATAATCTGGAAAAATCAATAATCCAGAATCGCCGAAGTCCCGACGAGTCCGGATTAACGACTTTTGACTGTATAATCACCCTCTATTTATACAGTTAACAGTAACAATATGCAACTTCACGTAGGTTAGCAAATGCTAATCCACACTTTGGAATTCAAATGTGTAGTTCCAGGTAAGTTAAACTAAAACTTGCTATTTATTAGCCTTTTTATTCTTATTATTATTTTTATATTTTGATAGATTGTATATAGCTTATTTTAGGTTTACATGCATAATTCGTATAGGGGAAGTTTTCAATAGGCAAGAGTTTCTAAATTAATTTGGTTTTCTACTCTTAATTGACTTTAATTAATATTTTATTCCTAGTCTCTTGCTAAATTTTTCAAAATTCCTACTAGTAATTCATTACACTTGGTTTTACTTTTGGTTTTGAATTTTACTTATACCCTTGCTGTGAGAATAGTAACTTCTCACACCACGCAGTTTGTCATCACCACATTAAATCTTAATCGCGGAACTGCACGTGTGTATACAATCACCGGTCAGACTAGTTTCTTTTTTTCTTCGCCCGTGTCCTACCTGCTGCCGCTTGGCAATCAGCGAGACGCACGATGTGCGGGGCTCTGCCCCTGCATATCTCACTGATGGAGTTTCATCATTCCTGATATTCGCACATGGAATGTCGTCGTGATTTTTGCATAAAAGGAAGCAGAACTAAAAGGTTGCGATATATTTGGAAAAAATATATACAACTGGAAAGTTACGAACTCATATCCACTTTGCAGAGAAACATTTATTTCAGTATTTTTACCTCTATTTCAACGATAAATCCAATGTCTCATATAGAAAATACTTGCCAGCCGTTATTTGTCACAATGAAGAAAGATGCCACTAAGAAACTTCACATAATGCACTTGTGGAACAAAGAATTACACAAAGAACAATAAAAGTGCACAGCATTATGAAGACTGCTGAAACAAGAAAGACATAATGCATCCAATCCACCACCTTACAGAAGTACCAAAAAGAGCATGCAACAATTAAACACATGATAATTCACTCCAAAATAAATTCTTGTTGAAAAATTTTTACTCTATGTAAGCTCTATAAAGCAGCACAGATCTGTTTACTTCTCCTAATAATTCTCTACAATAACCACACAGAACATACCTTGAATAAAATATTCAATGGTCTTCACACAAGAAAATGCCAATGGAAACATGCCATTGCAGCAAGAAATATAACAAATTCAACAATTTCACATGACTTCAATTTTACTAATGTAGAAAATCAAGATGTGATTACTTTCTTCTTAAAAAGAAAGCACCAGACCCAGACAGTATAAACTGTATAATAATTAAAGTGATCATCTATATAGCAATATTAGCCCTCTTTTATAAATACTTCTACAAGATTCTCCCTACAGATACATTTTTTAAAGCTTTGAAAACTGGTCAAGTCACACTCTTCCTCAAAAAAAAATGCAAACTCCTACTGTCCAGCTACTGCAAATTCCTACCGTCCAATGTGCTTACTTTCAGCATTACACAAAATATTCCAAAAACTATCGCTACATCAGAAGAATTATCTTAGCCTTAATCAGTATGGGTTTAGAAAAGAGAAATCACATCACATGCATTAATTAACATACAGGGCAAAATTTTGCAAAATAAAATCCACAGCTATCACACAGCATAATTTGTGTTGATTTAAAACCTTTCAGACCTTGTAGTGGCCAGCCATAAAACAAGCAGATTACTCAAGTAGCATTAAGAGAACTTTGAATTATTTTCTGATGGACTGCCAATTAATTATAGTGCACAACAATGGTGTTATTACACATGATCAAACACAAGAGGTTGCCCTCAACTGTGAAATCTTACTTTTAATTAAATCTTTACAACATCTTGGCCAGAACAAACTTGAATATCTGCCCAAGCAGATGATGCAGTTCTCTTGAAGGAGGATAAATTACAGAAAAACTTCCAAAAGAAGTCTGCTATCAATTTTACTCCCTTTGAAATGTTACAAAATTGCGAAGTGCTGAACAGAAATCATAAATCCTTCTAATCCCAAAGAAAGGAAGGTCACCAATGCATCGACCATCTACATCTCTTAATGGTAAATGCCTAAAAATAGTAAGGATAATTACAATACACAGCTCTGATATTTGATGAAAAACTAAAATGGTTCTCACACATCATAGATACCAAAAAATGTATTACCATCACTGTTAAACTTCTGCATTTACAAGGAAATAAATGGGATTCAGGCCCCACATTCAAAAGATCCCATAATCTACAGTTGTGGCGAAAATCATTTCTATAGTCTACAGTTGTTGCAAAAATTGTTAACATATAGTGCAGCAATATGGGCTAATCTCAAGCACAGAATACAAATTAAATATCTATCCAGTATATAGAGATTCTTCTTACTTAACACCATTAGGACCTATTGCATAATTTCCACAAATGCAGTCTGTTCCTTATAAAGCTTTTATCTTTGCACATAAAAATTGAACAAGCTGTAATATGTCAACCAGTCAAACAACTGCAGAAGCCAGCAACCTTACCTGATGAAGTAGTTCACCCGGAAAAATATGAAAAGCAAGCTCCACACCTGCATGTAACTTGTCACAATAAAACATACAGATCAAAATCAAATTCAACAACATATCTCCTACCTCAATTAGCAAGTTAGAAATTTATACAGATGGTTCAAAAGTTGAGCACAATGGTGCAAGTGATTTTACAGCACTATGCCATGAACAGATAAAAGTAACAGTGGAAAAGCCACTTTCAATGCAACAACAGTGTCTTTCAAGGTGAGGCAATAGCTTAATTAAGGCCATACAATATAGATATGTAACAAGCAACAAAAAGACTGATAGTCTCTCTTTATTGCATGCAATTTAAATCTGAAACAACCTTCTCCTATCATTGTAGCTATATAACCTGTGAAAATCTGAAAATCATAATATCACACTGGAATGGATGGGTGCCACGGTAGAGCGATTAAAATTTTATTTAGTTCAGTTAAATAAAAACCTTTAAAAAAAAAACACCACCACCTAAATTTTAAGTGTATAAAAGAAAACTGCAAATTCAATATAAATATGGGAGAAGGTTTTAGCATATTATACTTACCCCTGGAAGAGTTTTTATGTTATGTAATGCACTCTGTGCTTCGACAGCTGATTTACGACAATAAAAAGTGACGAAACAACAACCTGAAACAGATAATATATATATATATATATATATATATAAATTCAAAATAAAGTGATTAAAAGTAAATTAAAAAGCCTAAAACTTGCATTAAAGCTGCAAAGTAATAAACCAATAATTCATAATAATATATAATAAGAAATCTTTACATATACCATCTCCATGGAACACAAATTAAATTTAAAAGCACAAAAGAAAAAATTTTTAGAATTTAAAAAGCATTTTAAATAGTAATTTCAACTTCCTATTTACAGATCGGTTAAGAAAACAAAAATCCAAGACCAAAAGTAAATTTTAAATATTAAATAAGCAGATATTGACAATTTGTATTACTTGGAGATAGTATATGGAAAGATCTCTTATTATAAATTATACTATATAATTAGCAGATTTTACCAACATTCTTCAAAAACAAAAATCCATGTCAAAAGACATATGCAGGACTGAAGTTAATTTAATATACAACAGCAAACTTTTTACTTAATTAAAATGTTAATTTTAGTTAAACAGGTCACACAGAAAAAATTACAACAGTCAAAAAAATTATTCTCAACAAATTACTACTTGAAAGAAGGTATGCTAAATTAATATACGTACATTAAATACAAGGTTGTTATTGCGATTTTGAAAATTACTACTTATTTAACTGGGAAATATATATATATATCAATGTAAAATACTAATTCCCCCCCCCCTCCAATTTTTAGATTGGTGAAATTTTAAGCAAAACAGTTTTCCTCCCAAAGAAGAGTGACCTATATTTCATCACCTTTTAAAATAGTTTTATTCAAAATCTACGAGAACCAAAGATTGCTTCCCCCCCCCTTACTTTCAATTATTACAGACTAGATCAGAAAATATAAAACAATGTATAGGTAAAAAAATGGTTAGAAGAACGACAAAAATCGGCATACCATTAATGCAAATGTCATATTTAGATATTAAAAATTTTATTTTCCTCTGCAGTTAGCCCAAGAACATACAAAAAGGTTCAGATCTCAAGAGAACAAGAAATTTAAAAAATAAAAATGTTTGAAAAAAAAGACTTTGAGAATTTGAATCATTTCCTAAAATCATTACCTAAATTACATATGGAAGAAGTTTTCTGAATAATCTTGATAGAAAATTTGAATACGTAGTCAAAAGCAAAAGTTAAGATCAGCAGATGACTAAATTTGAATGCACAGTCAAAAGCAAACAGTTACGATCAGCAGATGACTCATAAATGTATTTATTTCTAATGTAAGTTTCACAGTCCTTACAGCAAAATTTCAATGCTCACTTAAGTTGCTAAATCACATTAACAAATAATACTATAAAGTTAGCATGAACTTATACCAAAACGGTTTAAAAAAAACTGCAAATTTTTTGCTAATCAATTAAATTTTCAAATCCTTTTTTCTCTTATTACACAAAAGGGAGAAAAAAAAAAAAAAAAAAAGAACTGAATTGAAAAATTCTTTCCAAGTGAAGAATTTTATTTCTTAATAACTGAAAATTTTTCAGTTGCCTGCTGAATGATACAAAGTAGAAACCTTTTTCAATAGTAAATGTATTCAAATAATTAAACTTATAACTGTGAGAAAATAAGAATGAGCAAACAGGAGAGTGCAAAAGAAGAAGAAAACAGAATCTTTTCTTTCTAAGAATATGATCTAACATGCAAAACAGATACGCTAAAAACATCTTTCAATATGCTTTGGTAATTTACACATGCATAATTAAAAATTCAGTGCCAAAAAGAGAATTAAAAACTCAAAAACTAAACGATGACTTCATTGGTAGAATGAAAGAGTTCATAATATATAAAATAAATAGTCAATCTTCCAACAAGTCATGAATTTTATCAGTATCACAAACTCTTTATGATAAGCAATCTTTTAAACTAATTTAATTCAAAGCAGTTCCAGTACATAATAATATAGCTTTCACACAAATCAGAAGCTTGTCCGAATGCAACAGATAACTGCTTTTTCGTTAAACCATAAATAGTACTGGCTGAGGGTATAGAATGATACTGTTATCTTAATCGGGTGACAGCTACCAAATGTGGTAGCCTGTTAATATGACACCATGAATAGTTGTGCAATGTTTAATGTGCACAATGCCAATGCTATGTGATATGATTAATTTGTGCAATCTCTAATTTTTTTAAACACTTTCGCTGCCAATCACGTGAGGCTGTGTTGATAGTTATTGCCCTGACAATAGAAGTAGATTGTACCCATATGTTGGCTCGTTTAATATAAGAAATATGATTTAAAAGAGGTAATAAAAGAAGATTATGCATATCACACTGATTACTAAGCCTTTCATCAGAGAATTTTATGACTATGCACTAGCAAGTGAAATTATTTCCTCAATGTCACATTACACGGTGGCATGCGGCATTTAAAAATGAATCAAGTAAGTGACAATATGCATTATTTTTGTCTGAAATTATATCACAAACAAATATATATATATTACAAATTAATTTGCTGTGAGGTAGTTACAATTATATATTACAAACTATTTTAGATTGTTATTCATTTATAATCTTTACGTGAAATGAATCTTTGCTTTAATTCAAAAAAATATACATTTACAACTAGTTTTTAACTTTAACTCCAAGTCAATTCCAGCATACGTACTCACAAAATGTAATGCCGACTGAATGGAGAATTAACAATTAAGTGCTGCTTTCTCCGTGCCACTGTGTAACTGGCACTGAGACATCTGGCCACACCACACGCAAATGTGTGATTGCTTCAAGGATAATGACACATCACGCACCAGCACGTGATCGGCAGCAAACACTTTAAGCAAATTAACTAGCTGTTAAAAGAAAAGTATCTAAAATATTTTCAAACTAAAAAAATGTTTATTAAAGTCATATACATTTCTTTCATTTTAACTGTAAACAGATCACTGTGAACATAAGAAAAACAACAGTCCCCCCTCTCCCAAAAAAAGAATTCTTGAAAAGGTAACTGTTTTATTACCAATGTTCCTCCCCTTTTTTGAAATTGATTGATTACTCTTGCATGCAATTCTTAGCCCACTGTAATTTTTAAAAATGGCCAAGCTAATGCTTCTTAGCTTGGTGAAAAAGGCAACAAGTCTGCAACTTTTTGGAGAGGAATACAGATAATCGAGAAGTACTCTAAAAACTCTCTCTCTATACAGTCAAAAGTCGTTAATTCAGACACCCATAATCCGGAATGATCTATAATCCGGACCTCAAAGCTAAAAACTTTCTGCACATGCACAGCGTCGACACATGCGCATAGGCATACGCATGCGCGTAAGACCTTTATGACGGCGCATATGCATGTGCGCAAGTGCAGAATACGTTTTCGCGTGCGCGTTTTATGTATAACGGACGGTATAAGCTAAAGTTAACTAATTATCTATTTCAGTTAATGATGATTGCGTTGTTCCTTAATCTTCGAATTGGATCCGGTTTATTATTTTTTGCAGACTGTAAGAGCAATTTTATAAAAGTAAACTAGAACTTTCGATTATGTCAACTAGAATTTCCGATGTTGGAGCTCCCAAAGGATCTACAAAACGAAAGTATGTTTCGATGTCCATCAAACAAAAAGTGGAATTGCAGCAAAAAATAAATAAAGACATGAAGAATGTGACAGAGAGGTTAGTGAAAACGAAAAAATTTCGATTGACAAGTTAGTCAGTATTCTCGGCACAGCAATTACGGGACTTGAACAACGGAACTTTGTAACTGAACGAGAAATTACGTCTGTTTATAGAATTAAAGAGAAAGTATTATCACATAAAACGAAGCAACTTAAACAACTTACATTGAAAGAAATGTTTAATAAAGTAAACAAATAAATATTAAGCTTTTTTTTGTAAATTTTGATACCCTTTAGATCATAATTGTTCTTTATTTCATAAATTACAGTTTCATATTTTTAATTTTAGAATTTCTGCATGCCATCTTACGAGATTTCTAAAGGACAACATAACAAAAGACAGTGCAGAATATTTCTCGTGACATGTTACACACGGCTGTGGAGAATATTGTGCACAGAATGCACGGTGTTTTTCTGAAAATGGTGCTCACATTGAATGTGGTCTAATTCCTCACCGGGGAAGTTAATGTAGTAAATAAACATTAATTATTTAACTGTACGATTGTATGTCTTGATGTCCCATGCCTTGATTAGTCTACATACCAAATTTGGTGCCATTTCTGCTATTAGTTCACGCTATAGGGGGCTCCAAACACTGTCACTTTAAAAAAGATCTCCCTGTATATATTTACTAAATAAATATTGATTATATTATCTCCTATGATAATAATAATAATAAAGAGGGGGGACAATTACTCAAGTATTTTATCAATTTTACTACATTAATTGCTTTTCACTCACAATTTGTATTAGCGAAAATGCTGGATTCAGGGCGAGTTCTTTGGTACTCTGCTTTGGTTCTGGATACCTTCACTTCATGGAACTATTTGGTCTAACTTGGTTTGCTGGTTTGGCATCACCATTATTATTTGAGTAAAAGACGAAACACCTTCATATTTATTAATTATTGTTCATTGAATGGAGGTTGGTTTGTTCCCCTTGAAAAGTCAACTAATGTCAGATCAATAGCAATAATTACTTGCTTTTAATTTAATTTCTTTTTCAAAGTTTTGAAATTTTGTTATTCATAATTTAATTCAAGTCCTCATAAAACATTTTTAACAATTTAGATTCAAGTTACTTTAAAACAATTTTCGGAATTAAACTTCCTACCTCTGGGTTCACTCTTTTTAGATACTTCTACTAATATTAATCTTAGGAGATAATATAATCAATATTTATTTAGTAAATAAATTATTATCTTACTTTGCAGCTACTGCGCAAGTATTAGAATAACTTGTTTTTGAAATAAGTGAATTTTAAGATCATACAACATTTATTTATATATATATATATATATATATATATAAGTTTCATAATTTTTTCATTAACAAAAAATTAAACAGATTTTTGAAAATGGTTGTGACAGATAATAACTACCAGATCTATGATTATGACCCCTGAAACCAAAGCTCAGACTTTGCAATAGAAGAAATAAATGACATGACATGTGACTGTTTTTCTTAGTGACTATTTTCTTCATGAAAATGCTCCCTCTGGTTAGAGAATATCTAAGTACTATTATGAAATGCTGTGACATCTAAGGAATGCTTATTCACTGGAAAAGGACAAAACTGCATGCATTCAATAAATGGCAGCACTACCAAGGTAACAAACACACTTGGTCAAATTGTGCAGTAGCTTTTGCTCAGCACAGAACTCCCAGATCTTGCTTCAAATTAACCCTGTAATCTTTTATTTCTTTTCAAAAATTCACTTCTACTTAAAAGGAAGCTGATTTCAAAATTTTGCAAAAATCAAAGAAAATGCAACAAGGCAATTAACTTATCATTCCAGAAAAGTTTCAGACACATTTCATAACAGTAACAACTTCAAATAAAGTGCAGAGCTTCAGAAAGTGAGCACTTTGAAAGGGATTACATGTTCAATTTGTAAATGATCCTTTTTTTTTTAACATTCTAATCCAAAAACTTTCTGATCACACCTCATACACATAGAAGCATATTATGCCTAAAAACTATTGAACAATTTAATACATGAAATGCATTAGGATTATGCTTAATTAATTGTGGCAAAAACACTCAAAGGCTAATTAAGATAACAGATGCAACTAACTATGAAAAAGCACAATGACCCAGGGAAAAATTTATATGAACACAAAGTATGCTTTCCTGGCAGAAAAATTAATCTAACAGGAGTTACAATTAGTCTAGGAGGTGCCACCCCAAATGCTTTGCATTTTTTTTTTTTCTTTTTTTCCTTGAAATTTTACATATGAAAAACTAACTAAAATCAAATGGATCAAACATATTTAATTTGGAAAGCTACAATTATTATGATATTTAGAACTGACTGCATTCACCATATCTTTTTATGCAATCCATGTGGCATATTAGAAAGACACACAGCTATTTATTACTTTTTACATATCTAAATCAAATAACAGTTAGTGAAATGGGGATTACTTCTTCAGTATAAGCATTTAATGTTTAAGCAGCTCATAAATGGTTTTGTCACTTAGGATGGTTTCATTCTATACTGAAAGCTATGAGAAATCACATATATAAGTATGCATATCAGCTGATTCATATTATAGTCTAATAGTCCCCCCCCCAATATGTAACAAGCTCAGTAAAAATTTCAGAAGTAGCTAAAGAGGGGGAGTGAAGAGTTTTCAGTGCTTAAATCCTTATGCATTTAAATAATCACATGCATTTAGAGAAACATAACTGCAATCAAATTAAAATTATAACTTCCTCATTGAGAGAATCATCATATTCACATAAATCCTCTTAGTTTCCATAATCTCATAAAAATTGTATACATTTTACCTCTGCTTTGCCCAGTTATTTTATCTCTTAAAACATTTATTTGATGGACAGGTCCAAATTCATCAAAAAGTTTTCTCAGATCATTTTCATCCCAGTTACGTGGAATCTGTCCTACAAACATTTTGATAGCATCGGGATCAGGTTGATCTTTTTGGATAGAGTTCATGCTGCAAAAGACAATTTTCCTCATTACTTTCAGTAAAATACCAAAAATTGTGAAACACTTATGATGACATAAAATACTAATACTGAGACTCAGATAGCAGTAAATAATGTTCCTTTGAATACACACTAAAATGTAACTAAGAAAGCCTATACATGAAGAAAGCTGAAATGTTATTTAAAAAACAACAAAGAGCTAGACTATGCAAATAAAAAGACAAACACTTTTTGTTTGGAGAAGGCTATCACAAATAAATACATGGATATCCTTTGCCTCAAGTGTGCAACATATAAAAAATATCATATAATGAAAACAAAATCTAAATGATCAGATATTCAAATTGAATATTTAAAAGCAAGGGAATGGCTTGAAGATTCAATATAGTATTATGTCAAATGATTAGACTAGTTATTAAACTTTATAGAATATCCATTCAGGAATACTAACGACTTTTATAATAAATTATAAATATGTGTACAGACCACCACAATTTTACCACTACTTTATACAGGTATAGTCCCGCTATTATTAAATGTGCATTTCTGCCCCAATTTTGAGGGCCAATACCCCATGGGGCAGTTTGAAGGTCTCCCATTTCTCGTTCCCCCAACACCAACCTCTTGAAAAGACGTTCAGCCTGCTGTGTACTTTGAATGCCTTCTTGCCACACAGATACTTAACACTTACAAACATCTAAGCCTTTTCTAGGATCCGAACTTGGGCCCATCGGTGTGGCAGTCAGCATCAATAACCATCACGCAAGCTGGACAGCAGAATTACCCATACAGTTGTTACAGATTTAAAAAACGTAACATAATGACAAATATGAATAAACTTTATTGCTTTCATTTATTCTACGAAACATTTGTTAATGGCTAAAACAGATTAAGTGCTCTCTCTATTTCAAGTTAGTAATGTTTATGGGCAGTACAATACTCATATTTAACTAAATGTAGTGATGTTTTTGAAACAAACTTTTTGCCCTCATTTTGGCTCATTTTTAGCTGCAAAAGATGTGATGCCATAAAAATTGTGACATTCTCTGATTATCTGCCCAAGCCTCTAGCAAAGTCAGCAAACAATGGCACACAATTTTTCACCAAAATAACAAGAGAAAAACAGTAGTCATTTTTAAAAATGGCAGTGCACTGAAAGTTACATAAAACAAATATCCATAACAAAACATTCAAAATTACATAAAACAGAAACAAATTAAATTAAAAATGCAAAAAACATCTATAAGAAAATGCTCAACTTTCTTTTTTCCCAGTTTTTTGGCCATACGCACAGCAATCTGTTTAAAAATTCTCTTATCATATAACTGCAGAAAAAGTTCTTACTACTCTTCATGTAGAAATCGACTAGTTTTAGCTTTAAATAAGCAATCAGAGAATCGCCCAAATTAACTTCATGGAATGTGAATTATGTTTTTTATTACTAGGCAAAACACCATATTTCTGGAAAAAATACGACACTTTCGTTTTTCATTAGCAGTCAAATTCTACAGTAGCATGACAGTTCATTACAAGGAAAAACAAAAGCTTCCACACACTAATCATGACATTCTGAAGCCACAAAAATTATCCCTGAATTCCAAAATTGTTATCATTATGCACAGGTTGCTAGATAAATACATTTTAATTAGATTCTAGATTGCCTACTTTGGCAAAATAACACTTTGTCTAGTGATTCTTGTCAGGGTTGGGAGAACGATCAAAAAGTACCAAAATGTTTTTTATACCTCCAAAATATTAGGTATGCACATTGAAAAGATAGCATAAAATTAATTTCTCTTAAATATCAAGTTCATTTCTTAGACCTCAAGTGTTAATTTCAATTTTCAGTTCATTTTGATTATCCACACCTGAAAAATATTCATGAATCAATGTAGTCACCAAAATATGGCAACCTACGACATTGCCAAAATGTATTTGTGTCAAACCTATATTTGACCTATATTTTGATATATATATTATTATAATATATATATATTATATATATATAACCACACAACAGCATTTCAGAACATGCAGGTTTCCTTCCCCCTTTCAAATTCGATAGTCATTTTTTCTGATCAGAGCTTGTTTTTGCATTAAATAGATTTTTTTTCCCCTTGTAAAAAACTGCAATGGTACAGTAAACTTGGACAGATGATGAAAAGAAAGCATTGCTTTTCTTCAAAAATATGGTATTCTGTTCAACAGCAGAGAATGCAAATATTCGCATTCAAGGAAGTTGTGTTTCTTAAATAATTGAATTTAATCATTTAAGAAGCACAGATAACTTCTTTGAATTTTACATAAATGCAATGTGAAAAATTGCTGGACAGCAAAATATACATCAGTGAAGTTCTCTGAAGAGTTGCAATTATCTTGAAATACAACTATTGAGAGTAGTATATCAACTATTCTTAGGTGATCGTGATAATGACAAGTGTGCAATGCCAAGTTAATGCATGATGCTGATTTTTTACTATTCTCAGATTATTTGTAAGGCAAGAAGAGAGCGCTGTATGCATGGGGCGAACAGCTACTTCTGGAATGACAAATTGTTAGATTAGCTGATTAAGTATAAACAGACTGCTATGCACGTGCGAAAAACAACAGAATGTGCAAAGCCAAGTTTGTGCATAATGCCAAATTTGTGCAATTCTTTGATATTTTTTTAAGCGAAAAGAGAATGCTGTGTACATAGGAACAACCTAAAAATTATATTAGGATTTCTTGAGAATGGTGTTTTATGATGGTTGTTTCTTGCTTTTTTACTTTTTCTGATCAATTGCTATTTTATGAAACTTTTGTGTATTAGTTTGGTAAAAAAACTATTGCCAATTAGTGGCCAACTTTTTAGGAGGGGATGCAGTTAATTAAAAAGTACCAAAATTTATTGCATGTAAATAAACAGAAGGTATCAGAAATCTATATAATACACTTTGAAGATTTATGGAGGAAGGGAAGAAAAGTTCATAAATATGATGTAAACAATAAATATTGTTATGAACAGCACATTCCTTTGGAGGGGGGGGGGAAGTTAATTTGAAAATTAAACAAAAGGTAGCACACAAACAAAAGGCTTTAAAAAGTGAAAACGACTATTATTAATTCAATTTCTTACTACCACAACATATAATAAACAAATATCTCTACAAGATCTGAAACAGTTTCAGCTGGTGGCAATATTCATGGTTGCAAAGTCTCCAAGTCTTGAATGGGAAGGAAATTATTTCAAATGAATGGAATCTTACAACAAAGAAAGGTCAAAATGATAAACCAAAATATCTTGTACTACCTACTAGATCTTGTTTATAAATTTTGATCATACATATCTCCAAAGATGCAATATAGTTGATATAAAATTACATGTAAATGTGACTCTAGGCAGCACATTTTGTCCAAGACAATGACTTCTTGTACAGTAGCATCAAATAATACTATGTAATGATTTTATAAGTCTTCTAATCCATTCTTAAGGAAAACCATTCAAAGGAAAAAGTTCCTAAAAAGTAACAAGCACTGAAATTGTATCACATACTCACTCTTAATAAACAAAGTAGCTGTACTGTACATGCATATGGATATACAGCTGCTCGTATGGAAAATGTATAAATCGATAACACCACACATTAAAAAATGGACTGTATTTGCCCATAACACATCAAATAACAATTTTGGTTTTTATGCAGTTTTTAATAAAGCCATATAACATTTTTTTTTTCCCTTCTTGCTAAAAACAGCTTGCATCTTTATCATACAATTTGTATAAATAAAACGACAAGACACCATTAAGTATAACTCTTGTTGCAGATGAAGGAATGCTTTGTCTTTTCACAAGCACAGATAACTCTTATGTTTGTTTTGAAATGCTAGCGCTTAAGTTTCACATGCTACTGCACCAGCATACATTATCATCTAGACGATGACAACTTGTTTCCAACAAACTTTAAAAACATTTTCTTCAAATCATCTAATATGTTATATTTTTCAACATGCGTGATAGAGCTATTACCTTTTCCTCCAAGATCAGAATTTTCACATAGTTTCTATAGCTCGTTCTTCATGTACGTAAATATGTTTTTTGAACTAGTAAGGCTTTTTCTGGCAGTGTTATCACAAAGCCTATAACAATACAAAGTCCAAAATTGAAAATATCAGAGAGAGAAAAATTACAACTTTTTCCCTTTATAAGGAAGAGAGCCCTGAGTGCTTTGCCACAATCAAATAAACCAAATAATTTTCTTCTTATAAAGTCAAGGACTGGAGAATATAATACTCAAAAAAGGGGAAAAAAAAGGTTCATAAAAGTGATTTTCCTCCTGACTAACTGACATTACTGCATGTCACTTTCATATACCTAATGGCTAGAAAATCACATTATAGCCAATGAAAATTCATCGATTGATGCTGGCCATAATCACATTTTTTACCCTCGAATGTCTGTGCAGGAGTGGAGAAAGCATTTTTCTCTCTCATCTAAACAATAAATGAAGCCCAAAACCGTGGAGTGAGATGTTCCTTATACGGTTTTCATTTCTTTTTCTTTCATAAAGCTGAAAAGAATTAGATTCTGAGAAGTTTTAAGTTAACACAGCAAACTGCATTTTTCCTTAAACTTCTAATTTGACTTAGCTCATTATTTTTTGCAGACTATTATTATTACAGCTATTTTAAAGCTATGCCACATTCTTGATAGAAAGCAAATCTTTTACTAAAAGAATGACAGAGTTAGGCAAATGGAGGCAAGCAAATTAAAAAAGGTTTTCAATACAGTGCAGCACTGAAACTAAAATCACTACACACAATTAAGACGTCACAAAAAAGAATTAAAAAATTCTAGTAGAAAAATGAACTGAAAGACCAAACCTATTGAATGCATAATGAATTGCACCTTCATTAAATCTTTCCTATCTTCAATGAGTGCCTAAATTTTTCACTTATGTTATTCTTTATTAAGAAAAAATTACTTTCATATCTATCACACTTGGCCTGCCAATTAAGACGTCACAAAAAAGAATTAAAAAATTCTAGTAGAAAAATGGACTGAAAGACCAAACCTATGGAATGCATAATGAATTGCACCTTCATTAAATCTTTACTATCTTCAATAAGTGCCTAAATTTTTCACTTATGTTATTCTTTATTAAGAAAAAATTACTTTCATATCTATCACACTTGACCTGCCTTTTTTTGCCAAGCCATTTTTCCATTATTTTGTGGTTTAGAAATTCCTAGTAACTGAGCTTGTATCTTATAAAATTAACCTTCTGCAAATTATAATTAATTCCAGACAGTAATTTGTGTTTAAAAATCTCTACTGCAGCAAAGTTTAATTGAAACAGTGAAACCCGTAACAAACATATAAAGTTAGAGAACACCTTTAGATAGCTTTCAGATAAGCATTTTCATTTACATTATATGCTAATACGTTGACTGTCCAGACAACCTGGTCGGCCTAAAGATGCATACCGCATGACATAAAGAGCTTGATTCGTAAATTTACAAGGTTTTAATGATTTATACGAGAGAAAAATGCATGTTTTTTAATGTTTTACCAAAAAGAAAATGCCTTAGCTATCAAGCATTTTTTACATGACCTTACATAGTTCCTTGCTGTATGATTTAGAAGTAGTTTAACCATACACATATACATGTATCATAAATTTCTTTAAAATGTTTTCAACTTCGTGCAAAATCAGCAGGTCCAACTACGAATTTTTTTAACAGTATTCTAGTAACCAAAAGAGCTACCACAGTATATAACATTGTTTCTAACACAACATATTACTCTACATAATAAAAGAAAGAAAATTTATAACTGAATTTCAAAACTACAGTAGCAGAAATTATTTTTGATTATCCCTAATTCTCACATATTTCAGTGAAATAAACATTCTTCCAATGCAACAAAAAGCCAAATCATGGTGAATAATGTAACTGAAGATTTAATAGAAGAAAGGACAATTTACAGCTGAGGTACAATGGTAACGAACATAACACACACATGGCACAGAGATTGCATTTTAAGTGTTGAACAAATCTACTGCTTTATTAACCTTGTCCACTCAAGCTAGCAAATCCTGATGCTCAGATGCTTCTGCCTGCATTCATGTCACATAGTGCAGTTCCGAAAAGTCAAACTTGATCTTTACTGTTGGTGCCAGATGTATATATTCATGGTGCCATCTGGTGAGAAAAGAGAAAAACAAGATGTTTGGAACTACGCAAATATGAATAGAGCGTTCTGGTATCAGATTGATATATTCAGTACGATGGTCAGATACAAGTTAAAAGTTACTATTCAATATATATGGTATTACAAGATAAATTAGTTCTCATTATTCTGCACTCAGCTAGAAGAAGCCAGGTTTATGAATATCCTTACTTTACTACATTTTTTCTATATGAAATGCACATTATTACTCTTTTTACACATGAATTCAAATCTTTGAAAATCACCAAATTAAAGCTCAAAGTTTCGTACGTGTAAGATGTTTTATATTTGATAGTCATTTTTCTATTTACTTGTAAGCAATTTTTCATATTTACTTACAATGCTTAGTACATATGTTTATCATCTCAGACTACTGGCACCAACATGCACGTACATAACAAATTAGTAAAATGAAAAAATACTCATTGAATCATTCACATTCAACAAACAATACCTTGAAATATCAAATTTTACAATCATAAACTTTCAAATTCAATTCAAATCACAAATACTGTCTTTTTCTGCATCTTGCATCTCAAATTCAAATCTGCACTTTCTATTTGACATATGTCATGGTCACTCAATTTTTGATATTAAAAAGTTGTAAAATGTAGTACTTAAAAGATTTTTATACAGACTGAAAAAATAATCTCCAAGCCAGATTTGCTCTAAAAGAATTCAAATTAATTTTCTTGCATCATACATGCTTTTATTTGCACAAAAATTCACAAATTAATACATTAAAACCTGTTTAGCAAGTTCTCAGACGGAACTTTGCTATCTACCAAATTCACAAAACCCTTCACAGAAAAAAAATTATCTCGCATTACTTCTTTTAGCATTTTATACTCAGACAGAAAATACAAAATCATTTTATATTATGTACTACGGGCTTCTAGACTCCATTATTATCTTTCATGATACTCGAAATGGCATACCTTAAGATCGTTTTCACAAATCAACATATTAATAAGTGAACATTGAAAGAAAGGTTAGCCTTTTTTTTTTTTTTTTTACTACCAAACACACTTTACCTTTCATGCAATTTTTAATGCCTTTTACCTTCACGTAAAACTGTTTTGCAATCACTAATTAAGTCTGTACAAATCCCCGGTTATCACTGATTTCTGGATCTCCAGAATTCTCTTCTCAGTGAATGCCTTTAACAAAAATACGATACATTTTCTTCTTTACAAACCTAAAAATTTTCATTAACAAATTAAAATTAGCTTTGCCCTCACGAATCACTCAATATAAATACTTTAGAAAAAGAATTTAATGATATTTATAATCTCAAAAAGATGTTATGTATGCATCTACAGTACAGCTGGCTAGAAGATGCACCAAATAAAAGAAAGTTAAATTTGCTGTGAACAATCATGCATTATATGACAGTTTGTACTTAATACATTTTCACAGTTTCTTATCAATCTTTTTTAATCAGCTAACACAGCTGAGACATCAATGCAAAAAGCTTATAGAAGGAATTTCTATTCAGAGAAAATTAAGTACAGTAATATTGTTAATACTTGACCAGCACAAATTTTCATTTATTATATCATTACTTATTACAAATTTACTTATTAAAGGTATTGTATAAAATTTTTTTGGCTAAAATGCATCCTAAAAACATACTTTACATTTTAAATTATATTTGGTATTACACTTGTTAACTTCATTATTAAAGATATGATTAAATACTCCAGTTACTTTCAGATTTTTAATGCATTATAACTTCAGACATCATAAATACATAATATACCAGATATTAAAATATTTCATGGTTCAAATGCATTACTTTTAACAAAGTTCTAAAATACGCATAAAAAATTTTCAAACATATTAACCAGCATTCCTCAACTTTTTAATTTATATGGTACTCTTAGAATACCTCCATAAAAACTGTTATACATTATTTATATTTGATTAAACTGTTCATCACTATTTCTTGAGGAACACCCAGTGATTTCTCACAAAAATTACCTGGGGATTGAAAGATACGTTGCACTAATCTTATATTATTTTTATACAGTACAAACAAAATGTAAAATAAAGGAATATAACATAACATCATATTATAATTTAAAGTAGCCATGTCAAAAAATGCTATTATTAGCAGGCCTACTATACAGCTTTAACAGTTATAAATTAAAGTTCTTCCATACAGAAAACTGTCAAAATAAAATCCAACATTGATCACATTTTTGATTAAAATAATCTTTAACTTTGCAGAGCTTGTAATAAAATGACAATTAGGAATATTTCATTGAATTCTGCATGTAAGGTACAGAGCTTATTACATATTCTGAACTAAAACAAAATGAATATTTTATTAACTCAGTTTCTACTCTACTAAAAGGAATACTATATTGCTAAATTTGTTCTATCTCTAAAGCTGAAACTTTTTTCGGTTGATCTTTACAATATGGTAACTGGGTAGTTTGGCGACATTTTGGAGGCGATAAAGGTTACTACCTGGGACTTTGGTAATAATGTGAGCAGTACTCAGTTCCGATTATGCATTATTTTGCGTGAGGGAAATGAGAGATCATGGGATATGTCATGTGATATTAACGGACGAATTACGGTTCTTTAATCGGAAAAGGGGGCAAATCGGGAAAAAATCTGGAAATTTTGTATTTGGCTTTATTCTGTGTTGTGTGAAACAGTGTTCGTGAATTTTTGGATCCCATGGCCGTAACTAAAGTGAATTCGAAATGGGTATTTATGTATGTATTAATTTAATGTATGTGCTCATTTATATTTTAAGTAGTGTTTTTGAATTAAATTATATTTTAATTAAATGATAGTTATTTTGTGAATTTTATGTTTGTAGGAATTTGGTATACGTTTTAGTTGAAGTAAACGTGCATGGAAATAATTTAAATATCTGACAATAAGTATTTGTAATGGTTGCGGTATGAATTCGTTGGTGACGTGTATAATGTAATAGATGATTTAGAGGTAAAGTTTTTGGATATTTTATTTATTTTATATGTGGAAATGTTCATATTGGGTGGAAAGGGTACTACTTTTCGCGATCAGGTAATTTCATATTCTTTTTACCGGGTTTAAAGATTGAGAAAATTGTCATGTATTTTCGTGAAATTTTTCTAATTTATGAGAAAAAAGCAGTGTACATGGATATAGTGAAGAGTGTGCGCAATGCCATTTTTGTGCAATTCTGGGATGTTTTTTTTAAGTAAAAATAAGTCGACGTGTACATGGTTTAGTGATATTTTACTTAAATGATAGTTATTTTGTGAATTTTATGTTTGTAGGAATTTGGTATACGTTTTAGTTGAAATAAACGTGCATGGAAATAATTTAAATATTTGATACTAAGTATTTGTAATGCTTGCGGTATGAATTCGTTGGTGACGTGTATAATGTAATAGATGATTTAGAGGTAAAAGTTTTTGGATATTTTATTTATTTTATATGTGGAAATGTTTGGAAATGGTAAACTTTTTCGCGATCAGGTAATTTCATATATGTTCTTTTTACCGGGTTTAAAGATTGAGAAAATTGTCATGTATTTTCGTGAAATTTTTCTAATTTATGAGAAAAAAGCAGTGTACATGGATATAGTGAAGAGTGTGCGCAATGCCATTTTTGTGTGCAATTCTGGGATGTTTTTTTAAGTAAAAATAAGTCGGCGTGTACATGGTTTATGTGTATGTGTTTTTTGAAAAACGCGTAAGGAGTATGGTATTGTGCACTTTTTCCCAATTTTGCAGTGAATATTTGTCATGATTAAGCAGTTTTGTTTGATAAAATTTCTAGCATAAGTGTAATTCGGCTAGTAGATTGTTGGAAGAAGTGTTCAGTAGATAAAAAGAAAAGAAACATGTCTTTACTTCGTGAAGACAAAATGGCGGCGGGGAAAAAAAATAGAGGGTTGCTGTAGGAGAGTTGGTCGCCAAATTTTCGCCAAAAAATCGCCAAGTTACCATAATGTAAAGATCAACCCTTTTTTCATAAAATTCTCTATCCCCTTTAAAGATATTTTGGTACTTTTCGATTATCACAGCATTACGAAAAAACATTGCTAAAATGGGTGATAACATGCCAAAGACAGCAATAATATAATCCACTGAGCCATTTTAGTTTTATGAATGAAACTAAGCCACATTCGTGTTTATAGTTTGCAACTTTTTTCAGAACTGCACAAAACATAATTTGACAGATGACTTTCTTCATATACATTATTTGATTAAAAGCATGTTTTTATAGTGGAAAAAATGGATTTCATAATCTGGAATTTACCTAAAGATGAAGGGAAGTGAATGTATTCAAAATTTATTAATACTTGTTATAATGAAAGAATATCTAGTGTTTCTTCATGGTGCGGATATAACAGAAAAGTACTGACATGAAGGTGGAAACACATACACAGAAACAACAGCTAAGAAAATAAAGCCTATAGCTATCTTTAATGAGCATCCTATATAAAACACATTAAACACTACAAGAA